TAAGAGGTCAAAACCTTTGCTTGCTTTTGACACCGAAAAATCTCCTCCCAGATAAAAAAATCTTCAATTTGAGATAGAGAACATCAAAAAAACTTTCATGTATTATTGAACCGAAGATTTTTTGATGAATAAGTGAATGCTGTATTTTCAGAGACAGCAGATTTCAAGTTTAAGATTGCTTCACTGATATGGACTCAGAAGCAGGAAAAATTATTTGGAAAGAGGGTTAAACGAATTTCCCAAATTTTCTCCAGATTACAACATTTTGTGCTATTTAACGATTTTTAGTTTTTATATTTTGTTATGCTTCTTTCAACCAAAAAGTTCTTTAAACTACAAGTGTTGAAATTTTAAAAATTGTTCACACTTTTCGTAAAAAGAGTATCGAGCAAAAGTTTTAGTCTGGCTAATATGTTTAGAACTTAAATTCCATGTCTTGATTTAGCGCATCATGATTTAGCCCATGGATAAAATTTCGATTTTTTAAACTCATGAGAAAACTATTCTGAATCAATAATTCTTGTTCGCAATCTTCTGAGAAGTGAATTTGTTTCCAAAGATTATTTTAAAAACATAAACCTGCGGCTGAAAAAAAAAACTTCAAAAATTATTAATCTTTTTTTTTCACTTTAATTTTTTTTTTAACATTGAATAAAAACGCTGTTTAAAAATATTTTTTTCTTTCGAATTTTAAATACTAATTGATGCAGCGAGCTTTAGCGCGTTTATGAAACAAACATCTGAATATGCAACCCAATTTGCTCTTAAATAAATGCCTCAAGACAAGATTAATATTTTCACTCTATTTGCTCTATGACTAGCTTGTTTCGTCATTTCCGTTTCTACTTTTTCTAATAAGCATTCTTTAGGCAGTTTTTTTCTACTATCATATGCTATAGAATTATCTAATTTTATCGCATGATGATCATTTTAATGCTGATAATATCGATTGTAATTTGTTATTTTTGACACACCTCAGAATGCGTATTTAAGGGAATGGCCATACATATATATGCATATATATATATGTCATGAATATATATGTAAATAAACCAAGAACCAATCAAATAAATTAAATAAAAAAGTTGCGGCAACCCGAATGTGACGTCAATGAAAACAAGGACAGCAAAGTATATCAATGTAACCAAGAATGGAATTTCAGGGAAACTGAAAGAAAATTATCATTAAACCAAGGGGCCCCTGATTCTACACTAGAGCCATAAATTTTTTATTTTTTTCTAAGAGTTCAAAACTAAGACAATTTTAATTTTTTTATTATAATGTAATTTATGCTACATTTTAAGGTAAAGTTATTAAAATTGGTGCCCGATTTTTTTTTAACCATTTTACAATTGTTATTTATTTTATGTGCAAATTACATTAATACAGTATTGTAAAATACAGTTAATGCGAGTCATTAAATTATTTAGAGCTTAACGATCAGGTTCACGCGCATGCAAACATTGTGTTAAATATATCAGCTCTTTTGACAAACAAAAATATTAAATTACGGTTGTACACCACTGAATTTGTTATTAGAATATACTTTTAATTTTAAATGTTGTTTTAAGAAATGATTACTTATAAGAACTAGTTATGTTCACTAATAGATCTTGCGGGGAAAAACCATTAGATAATACCAACCTTCATCTATCAAAAGGTTCATCAAGATTGAATCAAGTTAGCATGTCTTATATACTAGTGAATTGATATTTAATAATCATAGTGGTAGTTATGCCACAATCTTAATTATACAGAAAGTATTTGAGCGTGTGAAATGGGGGTGCAAGCATAAAAAAACAGTATTTATTCAGTTATTTATACTTTAAGTGAATAATTTTAGCTTTCTTAAGAAAAACTGTTTTTTGCCAAGAATAACAACTGTTGCGAAGCAAATATAAGGGTTGATGAGCAGCATCAAACAAGGGGCTTGCAAATACATAAGCATGTAGTTATAGCTTAGCCCAAAGTGAAAAGCTAACCGACGATATATTCTTTCGAATCTTACTCGATTAAATATTTCTTTAAATTATAAAGTACACCCCGCTTCTTCCTCAGTTTGATCTCTCAGTATGTCGCGCATCTCTACCTTAATTCTTAATTACATGCTGTGACAGCTGAAATATTGCATCTTCATTAAGCGAAAGTGGCCACTTATTTCTGAATTTTATATTTTCAGTCCTTCACAACGACTGCTATTAAGTTACCCAAGACTTAACGAAAACCTGCGACGGAGTTTTGGCGCGGGATATTAAACTTGGAGAAAGCATTTCGTATGTCATATAATTCGACTGTGTAAATACCTTTCAGAGTTAATTAAGAAGATGCATTCTCTCCAAAAATTAGAACTTGGCGCACTTTCACTCGTATTTCCCGGCGCCAATTAGGCAGCCACGATTTCAGGACGCTTTATTTCTCATTTAAAATTCTCACTTTCGGCGCCTCAGAGAATCTCTTTTTTTTATCTCAGTTTGTGTTAGTCCCATTTGAGTCACTAATGTAGTTGCTTGAAAGTTTTGGGGGATATTAAAATGCTCTTGAGGAAAAGTGCTTATTTAAATAAAGGTAACTTGGAGATGTATAGGAATTCGCCATGCATCAAACATTGTAGTAATTAGTCATCTTTTTGATAAAACGTCTTGTATTCAAGTTTTAAAAAGAAATGATGATAAAATATTCTCAAAATTTTTAAAATAAACTGATTGCTTGAGACTGCTTAAGCATTCATTTATACATTGTTGAACAAGGAAAATATATTACATGTTTTGATGTAATATATGAAGTAAAAGTATTTTTACAATATTTGATGTAACTTATGACTTTTGTGTTCCCTTTCTAAATTTTTCGTAGCGCTGTGTACCACTTATTAAAAAATGAATGTATATTTTACTATAAAATAATTGCTCAAAAGTTAAGAACCACAACTGGCTGTTGGCATCGCTAATTATTAACTGTTAACTCTGCAAAAAATAGCCAATAGAAAAATACGTAATCGCAAATTTTCATCGCTAGCTTTGTTTTTAAATAAAATGTTTTGAAATTTTCGTTTGTTGCAAGACATTTCGCATAAGAATAAGTACCTCCACTAAACTGTTCCCGTACCCCTGGGGGTACGCGTACCACACTTTGGGAAACACTGAGTTAGAGGAAGAAAGATTAATTCCTATGAGTAACTTTCAGTCAAGATAAAACTGAAATAGCCATAATCACCGCAACAAATTCAAGATTCAATTATTAGCTTGAGAAATATTAAGTCCTAAACAAACAGGAATAACTAATATCCCGCATAAAATTTAAAACAAATAGCTACCACCTTAGCGAAATCAAGATTCAATTATTAACTTCAAAAATATTAATTTCTAAATACATTGGAATAACTAACACGTTTGACAAGATTTAGGATTGTAAATTAATAATAACCCCCTCACAAAAATTCAGATTGATTTATTAGTTTCAAAAATATTGATTTCTAAACATATTGGAATAACTAATACGCTAGATAAAATTTTAAATAAATATTAATCCCTTAGAAAAATCTGAATTCAATAATTAGCTTCAGAAATACTAATCCTAGACATATAGGAATTACTAATACGTTAGATAAAACCTTAAAATAGTAATCTGTGAGAAAAAAATTATGGTCGAAACTACCAACAAAAAAGATAAAATTTATTATATTAATAGTTGTAAGGGAACACCAAAAAGTTGCATAATTTTTACAAAATATCTCTGGTAATGTTTTCGGTAAAATTAACTAAAAAATATTATTTTACAATATGTGAACAAAATTGGTGATTGTGATAAAATTTGATAATTTAATCATGATAAATTTTATCATGGCCTAAAAATCATTTCTTGAGTTAAATTTAGTTTTCAGTTTTGTATTTTTAATTAAGTGTGTAGTAATAAGAACTACAATTTTGAAAAGCAGAATTTCAGCTAAATCCTTACCATATGAATGGAAAAATCACCAATTGAGGGGTTTTAAGTCCGTATATTTTGATTTCAAATCCATAATTACGTTTGTTTTTACTAGAAATGCCATTATCATACAGAACGGTAATTTTAACGGTATTTTTTTTCTCCGCGAAGCAGTCATTACAGCAAATTAAAGATTCAATCATTAACTTGAGAAATATTAATGCCTAAACTATCCAACTTCTATTTTTTTCAGTTCCTACTTAATTTTGAGGAGAAATTATGTCGTATTAGAACTCAAGAAATTATGTAGTCAACTTGAATTTTATTTAAAATTAATTTTTTCCCATCTACTAAGAAAAATATTGCAATTCAAATAATTTCATGTTAGTAAAGCAATTGAATCTCAACACTAGAAAGACTGAAACTTAGTATATACCTATATTACCCAAAAGCAGTCAAAATGACTTGATTGTAAAAGAATAAATAAAGAATTTGTAAAGAAATTTGTTTAAAATTAATTTTTAATATTTTTTATATTATTTACAGTTATATAACAAGCTATTAGTAAATATTAACAATACACTAAAAAAATTATATGTTGTACAAAATTCTAAGAAATTGTGTCATTATATAAATCATTGTTTTTCTAATTGAAATTTAAAGCAGTCAAAATGACTTCCTTAGGCAATCTAGTGTTAAGAAGAAAAATTTTTTTTCACTATTTCATTCTAAATTTATAATTTCAATTTAATTTTAAAAAATGCTTGTGTCGTACGGAAACGGAAAATTTTTTTTCGGCATTCGAATATGCGTGGTTTAGTTCAAAATCGAATTACAGCAAAAGGACACTTAACTATTCATTAAATGTCATTAATAAATCTTAAAACAAATTTAAAATTGCTTTCGACAATTTAGAAAATTGATGCTTTTTTTATTGAAGTGAGGATCATAATAATTAAACTTTTAATTACTCAATTGAGTATTGTAATCATAAAACAATATTTTGAAATTAATAAAATTTTTGTTAACAAGTTATGAAATCGGATAATAAATTTTTTTCATTTATTATTTATTTTTAGCTTAAAAGCGAAGTGCCTACGTTGTCTCATTCTATGTTGACCATCAATGCAACTGAAAGTACTATGTACTTATGTAGAGCTACAAACTTCATGCGCAGTGCCAATCTCACAGTCACCGACAGTAAAGATTTTCACATATTCGTCCTCACTAAAACAGGTCAGTAATCATCTTTTTAGCATCATGTAAATAAAAGACATGATTTTTTTCTAAGATTTAAAACTTGATTACCTTAAATTAACTGTCAAAAACCGTAATCGATCTTCTTAGTTTTATGAAATCATTAATTTAATAAAGCTAATTTTCTTTATGAGATTTGTTTACAAAACTAAACACTTAACTTCTTTATTTAGGCCTATTATCATTCCAGATTGGGTTTGCGTATCTTATGAATAGAGTGGCTGTATTATATGCATATATTTCTAATATGGCCCCTAGGCAGATTTGGTATTTCTGTTTCCTGGACAATATCTTAAACCTTTGACACAGAAATTTTATCAAACATATTTTTCATACTTTTTTCCTTATTTTGTATTAATTTCGATTAAAATAAGGGTAAAATATTATATTTAACTTTTTAATAATTTATGATCATGGAATGCAGCATGTCTTTTTCTGTGTTAAAGTTAGAGAAAAATAGAAACAGTTGTACAACATTGAAGTTTCTTGAAATGTTCTTGTTTCTTGTTTCTTTACAAAACCTACTATTAAAAATTTTTTGAATTGGTATGAAATATTTTTTAACCTATTCGTTTTTTGATTTTAAATTTTTGTACAAAAATAATTCCGATAATCTAACAGATTTTTCTAGTAACCATTAGACTTTTTTTATTATTAAAGAAATGTCAAAACATATTTTTGCTTGTAATTAGAGCATCAGAAAAAAATATATATAATGGACACCAGTGTCCCATTTTTTTAAATGGTTAATATAATATCTACTAAAATATTGCAATATAATTATATAATATATTACCTAATAATAATATTTTCGTGACAATTTTTATGTAAATCCACTCTCAAAAATAACAGCTAAATAAATTCTCGAAGTTAGCATGAACACAACAGTGCCAAGGAGCATTTACTTTATTTTCTATTACAAATTGTATGAGTATACCATAATATTGCCAAGGATTATTTTATTAATAAGGTATTTTTTTAACTATGGTTATGTTTTTCAAAGAAAAAAAAAGAAATAATTTTTTTTTATGTAATCATAAAAATATCATTGAATATAAACTAACTTACTATGATAAACTAGTTTATTTCGTTAAAGCTACTGCAGTGTACTGTTGCTGTTGCTTCACGTTCATGTTTTGTATCATGTCCTTATTAATTATTTTAGTTTAAGTTTTATCTAAAATTGAAATATATATCTGTCAGATAATCCAGCTGTCTTCGTAAAGCAAAAGTTTTTTTTTCTGATTATTTTTTATTACGATTATAATTTATGAAATTAATATTAGCATAAAGACTCGCAATTTCAATTATTTAGAGATTCTAACTTTGAATTTTACCAATTAATTTTTTTTTTTTAAATTCTTATCGTTATTTTCATCTTTCGCAAATTTAGTGGAGAAACATGCTAAGTAACCTTATTGTAAATTTTTTGGAATTAGCTTCTGAATTAATAAATTTTCCATAAACTAAAAATAAATAAAAAAACAGCTTTTTTAAATTAAGAAGAGTTTTTTTTCTCACTAACTTGAGAAAAGCTATAAATACAAACTCTTATGTACTATATTGAAAAAACATTGACTAAGTTTAAAATCAAATATCAAAACAATGTTTTCTAAGCACTTTTGGTTTTCAAAAAACTGTGACTTTTCTTCATATTTGCAATTTGATGCACTTTCATAATGAGCACAAAGAGTTTCACAATTAGCTAAAAAATGACAAAACTTAACATTCATGCGTAATTGTTACATTTTCAAAACAGTTATTTTATTTTATTACCGGAAATGAACAGCTGACCCGATTCCGAGTTAACAATTATCCATAGTCTTGTAATTTTGAACCCAAACCCAGAAGACAGGGAACGTTCTAGATCAAAAATCGTGGAGGACATTTTGATAGATCTAACCAATATTTACGTTACATGGTAAAGAAAAATATGAAAACCTGGTTAGCCTCCCGGCAACGGGATCCCAACCTGTGATCCGTCTTCCGCTTTGCGTCAGCACTGTGGTCTGTGTGAGACAAGAGCAGAATTCGTATCATTCAGCCACCAATGGGATTTGAACCTAGGACACCTTATCGGGAAGAGACTGCTCAATCCACTGTCAAAACAGTTATTAAAAAAACATATTATTCACTAAACATCTTATTCCGAAAGACAACAAAGAACATCGTTTCGCCGTGGTGGCTCAGCTGATAGAGCGTTCACCTTTACCTAGGTGAACCAGGTTCGAATCCCAACGATGGCTAGTCGATACGAATTCTGCACCCGGCTCACACCAACCACATTGATGATATAAAATTTCCACATTGGTAAATGCATTAGACTCCCCTTGCCGTCAGGATAACCGTGGGAGGTTTTCGTGTTTTTCCTATCCACGCAAAGCAAATGAGGGTTAGTTTATTCAAGAAGTCCTCCACAAAGGCAAATTTCTGCCAATACTTGATCAAGGAGTTTCCTTGTCTTCTGGATTGGGTTCAAAATTAAAAGGCTACGGAGTTGAACATTAGTAACCGTAAACCTAAAAAAGTTTGTCTGCTGTACAATGGCGGTTATATAAAGAACAATGTTGAACTTTTTTTTATCAATTAAACCTCATGACACCATACTCATTGAATCGAAATATAGTTTTCTTTAACATGACATTTAACATATTTTTATCACGAAACTCTACACATATATTCCTTTACCTATTAAAAATGAGAAATATTCTTGTTATCCTGGGAAAAAATAATTAGCAACTCTGAAAAAAAATTTATTTTATCATCAAAAACGAAAAAAAGCACTAATAAGCTTAACATTGTTTAAAATCCATAAAAAACGGTTGTTTTCACAACTAAATCGAAATTTATGCTTTCAAAGGGCACCTAATTACCGATTAAACTTCAATTTAGAGTTGGTTCGCTGATTGCTGGGCAATCTGGCGCACTTTTAAAGTGAGAAATGCACTTTTGATGGATCAGACAAATAATCAAAAGAATCACCAGCTGTTTGTGAAGGATGTTATTGATTAATTTCAACGTAGATTAATAGATTAAAATGAGGGTCAAACAATTTCGTCACAGCCAGTAATGAGTTCGGAAGGTTAGGATTTCATGGCTTAGACAGGTTATGTAAATTTATTGAAAATTGATTTTATAGTGACAGTAAGATTGATTAGGTAATTTATGGTAACTTCATGATGTATAATTGAAAATAGATTTTTTTTTATTTATTATTTTTATGGACGATTCGCTTGTGTATTTTCTACTAGCATATTGTTAATTTTTCAAGATAAAATAACGTAGTTTTGTTGTAAGAAAAGTATTTTTGCATGTATTATGCTCGTTGCATAAATATTTTAAAAGTTTATCAAAAAATTAAATAAATATAGGAAATTGATTTGTTTAAAGTATCCGACTAGTTTCGACAATGTATTTTTTAAATATTAATTTAAAATTTAAAAAAAAACTAGATTATATATTTTTTTATGTGTAAAAAATAATAAAACTACAAAAAAAAATTTTAAATCGGCATTTTTTACATACTGTAAAAAAATTATATCACCAAAAACAAAAAATGTCTTTGAGGATTTTATTTAGAGGGCCATCAAATATGTTTTTAACTATTATCTTAAGAGCAAGAGCATAAACAAATAAATTAAGGATCAATGCATTTAAAAAAGCAAATATTTAAAAATGTCTGCTCGTGTCTTGGCTAAAAAAACAAACATAAAAAATGAAATTCTTTTTTTCTTCTTAGACTGTAGCTCAAAAGCAACATTTTCCACCATTAGATGATGGAATTCGTTCGTCAAAGAATTTCTAACATAACATGTTGGTTGTCCATCATATAGTAAAGATTCGTCTTTCAACATGAAATGGTGGAATTTTGTTTTGCCCATCAAAATCCATTACCACATGATGGGAATTGTTGGACGATAGTTACCATCAAATAGTGTTGGGCCATCAAGAAACCAACATATACCATTAAAATATCTTGATGGTCCCATTAACAATTTTGTCCAGGGTACTCATAATAATTTTTTTGAATACGCTTTAGAGGGATATTGAAATAATAATTATATTGATAATTATACCGTAATAATTATACCGTAATTATATTAATAATCATTTTTAAAGATTGTGTTAAAAAAAGACAAAGAAAAACAAATCACAATTTTTTCTCATTATTCCTATTTTCATTAGAAAATTTGAATATTATATAATATTTTTCATCTTCATAAAAGCTGATATAGGACAATTTCATTTTATATTCTGTAATGCATTAATGAAATTGTAATTAATTAATGAAATTTTAATTAATGAAGGCGAAGTTCGAAAAAATTAAGAGTAGTTGTTTTTACAGCGTGAGCTTTGGCCGTCTATTGGATTAATCAGACATTTTTGCCCATTATTCACTACTAAACCCTAAAATTAAATTACTTTATAATTATTTTGCTCAGATTTGAAAACAACAGAAAATTCTATTCGTTTTATCTCTTTCAAGATTTACAAAAAATGTATTTATTATAGTTACTATACATCTAGTCTTTTATATTTCCGTAATTATACCTAAATTATAATACAGATGTCTTTTTAAAAATACATTGTCTTTTATTGCTTTATCTTATGTAATGATTACTTTTTATGAAGTCCTACCTAATTTTGTATCTGTAGAATCAAATACAGCAATGCCCGATCAGCAGTCCGAGCCGACTTCAACCAATGTCCGCCGTCCTCCTTTAGATACACCCCAAGGATACTGCTCCCTGTACACAGGCAGTACCTGCAAGAAATACCTCTCTTCTAAGACACTCGTCTACTACAATTTTAGCAATGACGGATCAGCCACCCCCATCAATGAACAGATTACGTATGACCTCTGGGAAGAGGTCATCTCATCTCTTCTGGAACCTTGTCGAACAGCTGCCGAGACCCTCCTCTGCCACTATGCATTCCCCCACTGCGAGTGGATAGATGGCTTTGCCTACAGCAAGCCACTTTGCAGGTATATATTATGTGTAAATAGTCAATGTTTTAATTTAAGCAGTCATTGGAAATCACTGTAATAAGAATCATCTACAAGGACTGCGAAACCTAAAGTTGTACCTAAAGACTTTCTGAAGGTATATAGGGGAAAGTTGGACAAAACGGGATACCATTATTGTTATTATTTACTACACATTATTTTTATATATAGCTACATCACTTATTGAAGCACAGAAAAAACATATTTTAAACTAATTTTAATGACTGTGAAATAGGAAAAAAAATCATTTTTCAAACTCTTATATATCCCGTTTTAGCATACCTGGGTCGGACAAAACGGGATAGGGTTTACAATGTTTAATTTTTTGTGTAAAACTAGCCAAAAACATAATTAATTGACAGAAAACTGTAAAGCAAAATTTCTAAAAGTTGTATTTTTGGGATTTTAATGCTTCTAACATTGTTATATAAACTGTTGTTTTATAATTAAGTACACAAAAATTCTCTGATGCTACATAAGTTTTTAAAGATTTTATGAGTTTTCAACCATGAACACTTATTCCATAATTTTCACTGTCGAGATGCGTCTGGTGCCCTTAAGAGGGATTTCTTAGCAGTCTTTTCTTCAATTCTCTTGGTTCATTCTTGTAGTTTAATCATCCTTTTTTTTCTTCTTCCATTTATAATTCACTTTTAAATGGAGATGATGCTATTACTACAGTTTTCTTCCTTCTCTTATCAGTCATTTTTTCTGGGAGTTGTCCTTTTACTTGAAATACATTGATACACTTAAGGTACACTTTGGAATGATGGAAAAGGGTAGCTTAGGTCGATAACAAGAGAGTAATAATCCTAAAACTGCACACATCAGTCTGGTGTTCAATGCCTGGAAGTTCCTGCTGTTAAATCAGTGGTGACAGACAATGCAAACAGGTGATCTGGGAAGACGTCAGGATTGTAAGGACTTATACCAGTTTTACTAAACCCTTTAATGGTAGTTTCCGCAACGGCTGCCCATGAAGAGGCTGCGTTGAACAGCTTTGTAACCTCGTAAATTATAACGCACTTATCTGGATGGTTGAACAGCCACTTTCGAACTTCTTGTTCATAATACGCGCTCAGTGGAGCCATGAAACTGATATCCAGGGACTGAAGGCGATGAGTTGTATGTGGGGAGAAGGCCATTTTTTTCCCTGTGTTAAAATTATGCTAAATATTGTTTCTCTCAGCTAACTCAAATGCTAGCTTTCGTATGCCCGTTAGAATTGTACCAAATAATCTTTCTTCTAGAGCCAATACATGCTCACGCGTTTTTTCTTGTTCAGCATTAAATACTGTCTCTTATTCGTCCAACTTTTTCACTGCTGCCAATCCAGTGGTCAATGTATTTGTATGAGCCTTTTTTACCTTTCTTTCAATATAGTAATAATAATATAGTAAAAGTATTAGGCCAACAAATAAATAGGTGGATAAAACGGGATATAAAAAAACTCTATCCCGTTTTATCCAACTCATAAGTATCCCGTTTTGTCAGACTCAGACACTTTTCAAAGCAAACATGGCTACTGCCTAAACGTGAAAGAAAAATTAGATTGACTAGACATGAGAATACTCGTTAATAAATGCTTCATCAAATGTAATACTCACCGGAATTGTAATCCTATATATATATAGGCAGTACAATGTGAAAAGTGAAAAACAACGCGCGTGATTGGGGAAAGTGGCAAAAAAATGGAGTAAAAAAATTCTGAGACCTACAACTTTCTATCAACTAGTGATCTCGAGACGGTACGCACTGAAAATGATATAATCACAGTCAAATAACAAGTTTCTGTCGTCGTCCACTAGATAGCTACATTAGTCTGGTCCTTAGGCGAGATATCCCGTTTTGTCCGACTATCCCGTTTTATCCAACTCTCCCCTACTATATGCAGTTAGTCTATGTTTTAATTAACACAGTCATTAGAAATCACTGTAATAATAATCATCTACATAGACAGCGAAACCTAAATTTGTACCTATCTGCAGGTATATACAGTATGCAATTAGTCTATGTTTTAATTTACACAGTCATTGGAAATCACTGTAATAGGAATCATCTGCAACAAAATTAAGGAAGCGTGAGACATAAACGCCAAGTTGTAGATCTTTAAGCCACAAAGTGTTACAGGGTGCACCACGAGGAGGTAGATCTACTGCATACCATTTTCTTGATGGAACAGAATGATATCCCGTGCAATACCATTTTGTTCCATCAAGAAAATTGTGACAAATTGCATAAAAGACCATTCCCTCATGGACCTGTCCAAAAGAGTGTACGATAAACCTTGAAGGGATATAGTCCCAAAATCCTATATTGAGCCAAGGCGTAGAGCTGTGGCAGAATTCCGCCAGGTCACTGAACACGGCGGTCTTCTTAAACACCTCAGCAGAATTAACATTGCTTCTTCTCCCATTGCACACTTTGTAACCTTGGGGAGGAAATCGATGCCGCCCATATTATGCACTGCCCTGCTTTGCGCATGTCTTCTCTAGCCGTGCGATATTAGGAAGCCCGAAACCTTTTGAATTAATGATCTCAAGTTATCGCATTATGTTTACCATCTTTTATTGTATTTCACTTTTCTTATTGTGCTGTAACTACTGTCCAGTAAATTTGCCATTGGAAATTAAAAAAAGGAATCATCTACATAGGTTGCTAAGCCTTAAGTTAAAGACCTTCTGCATGCATATACTGTATGCAAATTGTCTATGTTTTAATTTACACTGTCACTGGAAATCACTGTAATAAGAATCATCTATACAGACTGTGAAACTTAAGGTAATTTCACTGTACCTAAAGAGTAGTATAGTATTCTTTACCATTACAGAAGCCCATTAGAATTTATACATCAAATATAGCAGCATAGTTTGAAAGCTGGGACTAAATTGTTTTTTTATAAAACAAAAACCTGTAAAGATGGAGAGAGATCGATTAACCAGAAACGAAATCGGTGATATCAAATGGATGGTGTTTTCTATACTAGGGTGTGCTACAAACTAGGGTGTGTGAAACAGTAACCCGGAAGTATAGGTAGTGAAGAGTTTGTAGTATTATGAAGAGTATTATGAAACTCTCTTGAGTAATATTTCTTCTAAACATGTATTTGTTACCCGATTTATTACTTGTGTTAAAAGGAATAGTTATAAGAATCGTCAATTAAAGACTTGTCATTTCTAGGAGTGAGAATCATCATTTGAAAAAAAGAATCTTTTTAAAACATATCTTACCATGTCAACCATATGCCAACTTCTAAATTTAAACCTCGCAGAATAAGCTGTAGTAAACAGCTGAATACTTTCCAACCGGAAGTAGAGTTGAAGATTGTTGTTGTTCACATTTATACTGAAAACACCATCCATACGTAAACGTAAGAAATAACACTTTTTATTACAGTATACAAGAACCTATTTATTAACTTTCTAATTCATGGAAACTTCCACTCTTCTGCAAATATATTTTATTTGTGTTTCTGAATCGTCATAAAAATGTTTTAGAGCCATTTTAGAAGTTTTTTTATGGATGCAATTTTTTTTATTTATTGGTAGCGTATTTAGTCCGCAATGATGAAAATAAATAAATGGAATAGCACACTAGTACATCAAGATAATATTGCAGCCAAAAATATGAGGAAGCTAAAATTTTTATTTGTTATTGTAAATAACCGCCATGAAGTTTTTTAGTATTTGCATTTGGAACATGAAGCATGTTTACTTGAAAAATTAGTTATTAAATTTCTCATTATTAATTATTAATTAGAGCTCCCATAATTTATTTAACTATCTAGAAATATATCCCATTAAAGAATACGTGCACTCTTTTTTCAGTTGTAATAGAAAAAATAAAAACTGCCTGTTCACCTAGAATAGGACTTGATACTGTCTTTTAAAGACACTAAGATTTCATTATTTGTACAAGACAAATAATCTCACTGATAGTTTGTGAATGCGATTGTGTGATTCTTGAACTTTCGCTTATGACATTAAGTCGTTATAATTTCTGTAATTTCTTTTTCTAAACAATTTAAAGATATCATTTACAACTATAGTTTTATACATTTCCATTAATACGGTGTCAGAAGTTTTGTGTGAAACATATACCAAGAAAATTAGCTTCATTCATAATACAATGACATATTGAACCATATTATCATACAAATTAAGCACTTAAAACTACACAACTCAAAACTACAATAAGTAAAAGTACGTTTAAAGCTACCAGAACTGGGTAAAATATGAGGTGTTTCCGGCTTAATGTGAACGCGAAAAAAAATTCAGTAATTTTTACTGAAGCCCTTTTTTCATGAGTTTTGTAAAATTAACAATATGATATGGTCTTATAATTTGTGATAAAATTTGGTAAATCTGGTAAAATTTAGTAAATTTATCATGATACCTTAGAACATGGAATAAAAACTATTTATTCAGTTAAATTTACTTTTCAGTTTTGTATTTTTTACTGATTGTGTAGTAATAACAACTATAATTTTGAAATTAATGTTCTGTTCAGCTATGTGCATAGATCTTAAACTTTTCCATAAAGTCATGAAATAAGAATTTATTAATGCGAAATCTAGTCTTATAAACAGCTTCCTGATGTTGTTACATTCTCTAAAGCTATAATGTTCCTAAAATCAAAATGAAAATTTGTCAGTTTGAAATTCTTTATACTATCTTCTTCAATTAAAAGTAAAATTGGTGTAAAATATTTCCTTGAGTCGGAAAACTGGTTTGACTACTGAATTCGGTTAACGATTTAAAAATAATGGAAGCTCACAGTAGACGGAATAGACAGAAGATTTACCGAAAAATGTTATGGAGAAAGACTAAATTTGGTGTATCAAAATCTTTTCTTATTCTTTTGCTTAAGAAAAAAGAGAGGAACACAAAGTCGGTTATTATAAACCAAAACAAGTTTCATCAGACACTGGTTTAGATGTTTTTTATTCCACCTTTCTCACTAGTAGTGAGACAGATTTCGATACATTCATATTTTATTCACCTTTAAAAAATAATTTAAGACCTCTAATGTGCGTAATTTTTTTGTCTTAATTTTTGAAATAAAATTTCTAAAAAAATATATATTAATTAATGGTGGTCGTTAAGGGACACTTTATGTACACTGGGGTAAAAAATTAAGAGAATTTGAAGACTGGGTCTATTATCTCTAGAACTACAGGACCAATTTTAATGAAATTTGATATGTACATACGTTGATACAATGCAAAGCAATTACCATTCAATAAATGTAATACACACACATGATAGTGCGTAACACTCGTTGGAGTCGGAAGGTGTGAAACAACTGTTGCATAATAAGCAAAAAAACTGGGTTAACCCCTTAACGATCGGTTAATTTTCAAGAAAACGGTCATAAAAGTGCCTATTTTGCCAAATACACGCATTTGATTAGTGCTGACATCTTGTTTAAAATAAACTAACTATCTACAATTCCCTTAAAGATATCCTGGTACTGCCCTCTGGTGTGTAAAATGAGAAATAAAATGTTTTCCGGTCAAAATAAATGAATTAGTTTTATTCTTATTGGCGGTTTAGTAATGAAAACTCCAGTCCGGAAATTTCACGGGAGCGAGAAATAGAGGGCGAAACCTCACCCCATCATTTTCATGGGAGCGAGAAGAAAGGGGTTTATGTCCCCTCTTACCCTGTTCTTATGGATACAGGTCATGCAGCGTGATTTCATACTTGAAATAAGGCAGTTTTTCATTTCCTGTGGCAATTGGCCTAAATTGTCCGATGACAATTTAATACCGTTCAACGAGTGTTGCGTTCGATCCTGCGTGTCTATAACAATTGTTGAATGGTCATTTGTTTCGTATTGTATTAATGTATGTAAATATCAAATTTCATTAAAATCGGTCCTGTAGTTCTGGAGATAATAGAGCAAGTCTGCAAATTTTCTTAATTTCTTATACCAGTGTAGAATAACAAATGTTGAATATTGTTGTATTGTAATCATAATTTTAATTCAATTCCCAAAATTCGTCTAACAGGGAAGATTGCATAGCGCTGCAGGGTTTGTTCTGTTACAATGAGTGGGCAATGATAGAAGACAACAAGCAGAGGGGCATTTACTTCAAGTCGAGGGGCCACTTCCGACTTCCTGACTGCAATTCCCTGCCAGAGAGGGGAAATTCTACAACCATCTGCTCGCATGCTCATCTCACGGATTTACTCGAGGAGGAAGTGACAGGCGAGTGTGCAAATTACTAAAATAAATTCTCTAAACAGCATTTCACTGTATATACAAGCATTTCGCTGTTTATTAACCCAAAAGCCTATTGTAGTGCATTTACTTGAGTTTAAGTGAAATGAAATGGTTTATTTGCAGTTTAAAACGCGTTTGTAAATATTTATAGGAACCCGGAAAACTCAAACTTTTGAAAACTAGAGTGTCTCATAATTGTTTAAAACTTAAACTGTTACAAATTAAATAAACAAAATATATTTAATATTTTTTTTAAATTTTCATACCTGCAACCATTTGTAATGTTATGAGAAACATTTTCTACTGCTCTTTGATAGTTATGAATCATTTATTTTCAATAAAGGTTTTTAATCCCTTGAACTAATAATTTTGGGGGCAAAACATTTTAGACTCACTATTAAATAGGTATAATTCTAATGCTTTAACGTTCACGTCCTTAAACATCGATATTTTTGAAAATTTCCTTAGCAGCAAAATAATTTAGGCCCTCATTGGAACAATATTCCTTCATCCATATTGACTCAATAGGGATCGAAATTTTACAGTCACTTTACAACCAATACCGGCCCTATATAGAATTGTCAGATTCACCCGAAATATTACAGTCACTTTACAACCAATATTTGCCCTATGTAGAATGGTCTATTTCACCCGATATTTCACAGTAACTTTTCAACCAATATCGGCTCTACATAAAATTGTTATTGCCCAATATTAAAAGTCCTTCTAGAACCAATATTAAAACAATTTAGATATCACAATATTGGTCCCTGAGTGCATATTGTTATAGGAACCTATATTGAGCCCAACTAGGGCCACGATAAAATTATTGCTAGGGTTAGAACGCTAGTATTTATTGATGTTTTATATTTCTAATTTAAGGAACTACAATTTTTTGATTTTCGAACAAAAGTATTTCGAGTAAGAAATATGGTTCTGGCAAAAAATGTTTGTACACATCAAATTGTATGAAGGAATTAGTTATGTCTTGGTGCGTTTGTAAAAACTCTAATGAGTATACACAACACGCAATGCGAAACTTTTTAAGGAGTAATGTCTTTAAATTTCTTTGCAATCTAATAAATGCGTTTTAAAATATTTTGAACAAACGTTTTAATAACATTTATTAAAATTGCGTTTAAAATATTTCATATTTGTTCTTCTATATGGTTCTCTTGTATATTTCGTATGAGATCTAGTAGTTTTAATATAAAAGTAATAATCGGAATCTAATATCGGAAAGAAATATTGTGTTTCATATTTTTTTTATTTTATAAACGTAGAGGAACAGCCGATCTAATTTTTGAGTTTACGAATACCATTGTTGAACTCAGTAGCCTCGTAATTTAGAACCCTATCCAGAGGACAAGGGCACTCCTGGATCTTATAGTGAGAGAAATTCGACTTCGTGGAGGACTTTTTGATAGAACTAACGCGCATTTGCATTACATGCTGGGGAGGAAAACCACGAAAACATCCCACGGTTAGCCTGGGAAAGGGGATTCGAGCCCATGATCTGCCAACCACTGAGAGTATATTTTACGCCAGCTCTCTGGTCGATTTGAGACTGTTTCAAAAAATTTATTGACCAGTCATCGCTGGGATTCGAACCCACTTACCTCATTGGGAGGCGAATGCTAAATCCCCTGAACCGCCACAGCTCCACTGTGCTCTTTAGAAAAATAATAGCTGTCAATCTTTATGTTACGAATCCCTTTAAATTCAGGTAATTTTGCCAGCACTTACGAACGTTGCGCAAAGAGTAGTGATTCATTACTCGCTTATTTTAAGGATTTTCGTCTGAGAAAAAATAACCCAAAATTAGTGAGGATTCGTCTTTGTAGTGAAATAAACAATAAAACTCGCTTTAATTCTCCAGCACTTATGGAGGTTTTTCTTTGAGTATTAAGAATAAGTTCATGTTACATCTTGTGTATGCGAAACATGATTATTAATCACTTATTTTAATGATTTTCGTCTAAAAAATATCGCGAAATTGGTGGTGATTGGTCTTTCTAGTGATAGTGAAATAATCAATAAAACTCGCTTTAATTCTCCAATTCATGTTGATATTCCATTCTCCAATTGATCATTCTCCAATTGATCTTGATACTCTTTCTTGTGAGTATCAAGATCAATAATTTCATGTTATATATTGTATGAGAAAAAATTGATTATTAATCACTAATTTCATAAATTTTATCTAAGAAAAAGTATCCCAAAATTTGTGGTGATTGGTCTTTCTAGTGATAGGGAAAAATAAACAATAAATCTCGCCTGAACATTTTCCTACGAGTAACAAGATAAGTTTATATCTTGTTCATGCAAAAAATGATTATTAATCACTTATATTGGTCATTACTTAAGAAAATGCTTTATGTTATTTTTTTTAAAACATTCATGTTAGGTTATCCGTTTTAAAGTCTAGACACTTTTATACAGCAATACATTATGTACACACTTATAAAACTTTGTTTAGAGTTTAAAATATTCTATTTGTACATTTTTTTAAAAATTTTAGTTATTTATTCGAAATAATCTTTAAAATACGCCTGAAAAACTATTTTTATTTTCCATTGTTATGAAATTTAAAAAAATATTTCGATTAAAAAATGCAACTGACAGTTGAAATTATTTCATGGGCTGAGCCTTTCTTACATACCGATAGACCAATTGCCAGGTACGTTCAGTAATTTGCCATGTACCCAGTATTTAATAACAATACTAATGGCTTAAACCATATTTTCTGTTAACTTAAACTAACACAGTAAAATTAAAAGGGAGGGAAAAAAATTTGGATCCTTAAAAGGGATTAAATTAACATAAAATTTTCGAAAGCCCTGAAGTATCAAAAGACATTATTTGGAATGCTAACGTGAAAGCTTTTTCTTTCCATCATAATATTTGTACCGTTCAAGATTATTTTTCAATTAAATATTAATTTTCTTATCAAAATTTAAAAAAATAGTTTTGTTTATAAACATTCTTTCAAGTATTCTCATTAAGTAGAGACAAAATTTAATTAATTGAATTAATGAACTCTTGTGAAGAACTTCCTCATTAGTGAGAAGAATTTCTGTATGAATAATTAATTTCGTTAATCCAATTAAATTTTGATTTCCCTTTACAATCATACGAATGGTAACGAAGTTATCTCTTTCTCTATCTCGCTCNCATTGTTGGACCAAAATCTGAATTTTTTATAGTTGTATTTTTATTTATTTGCTTGATATTTTTATATTGAAGTAGGTGCAAGTGCAAGTTTTGGTAGTGTAAATGGTGTTTGGTTGGCAAGTACAAGTAGGTGCAGTAGCAATTGTGCAAATTTTACCTCCTAAATACATTTTTGCTTCCCTATTGAAAATTTCAAATTTTAAGGTCACTTCTTTGAAATGGAAATATAAGTACTATGTTACAAGGGGTTTATCTAACAAAAGCAACAACACCCTAAAGATTTGTTTTGCTATATTATTAATGTATCGCTGCCTAGTTATGGATATGCACTCATTTCCATTGAACATTGTTGCCTTTCGGAGTTATGCTCTGTCAAAGTCGATGAAAAATTCGGTTCTTGCCGTTTTTCTGACATGAAACTCTTCGTTAAACTACATCACCCTATTAATTTCTTTACTGAATATTAAAGTTCACTATTAAGACAAGCTCTGTGACCCAGCACTTTCTTGGGTTATCGTTGCTTTTAGTAGATATAGCCATTCACGCTTTCAAAAAATGCAAAATCTACATTTTTTTTTATTTAGCTTTTCTCAAAACAGCACCGTTGCTCAAAAAAACTAACTAAGTCGTCTTGTAGGCAGACGTATCTACTAATACGTGGGAAAAAATCAATGGGAACTCGTTCCATTTACAAGAAAAAATTACTTAATCTGCATATAAATGGTATGTTAAAAATCACATCTAACATTTTGAGATGGTAATGAAGAATCTTCATTTCCAAAATAAGCTAATATAAAGAGATTTTTTACTATTTATCACAAATTTGAGTTTACGACTACTAACGTTCAACTCCGTAGCCTTGTAATTATGAACCCAATCCAGAAGATTAAAGAACTGCTGAATCATATGTTGGTTGGACAAGTTGCTGTTCTTATGTTGGACCATCATAAATCTCTCCGAATTCCTACATTGGGGTGGTTCATAATTGTTCCAACATTTGATTTCTAAGAAAATATGATTTAAATTTCTGATGGTTCAATATAAACAAACCATCAAAACACGTTGCTAATCTTATATTGGACCATCATAAATCTTGTTGGAATCCCTACATTGGGGTTTCCATCAAAGATTATGTCTGTCCATCAATGGAAAACCATCAAAAAATTTGACTTGAGTTGCCTTCGTGGAAGACTTTTTGATGGAACTAATCCACATTTGCGCTAACCCATGAACCGTTTACTACTAAGGAAAAGCGTCGAATTTCTTTTTCTATTTCGTGTCGCTAAATTTATGTTTCGTATAATATTCTACCCAAGTAAAAGGGATTAATTAAAAAAGTTATAATAAAAAAGTAATTTTAAAAACTTTTTAAAGGAAAGTGTTACAGAATAATCAAACAATACACTAGAATGTTTATTTTCCCTTTCAAGACAATTTCTCTCTGAAACTTCAAACTTTAAATTATAAGCAAACTTCCTCAATTTGTCAATGACAGACTCTAATTCTTTCCCATTGAAATGTAAAATCATTCCGCATCGGGTCCGCGAAAATTTCAAGAAATGAAAATGCCAAAATAAAATGAAAGATTCCAATATACGTATACACAAAGTAAAAAACAAAATGATTTATGAGTTAAAAGCGAATGACAAATTTCTTGCGCTTTGGCGCTAATAAAAATAAAATGAAAGCCAAAACGCAACCCATAAAATGTCTTGATGTGAAAAAAAAGGAATAAACAAAAAATGCCAGTTCTAAGTCGCTTTGGTAAAAAGGCAATTTCTCCCCGTCAAGTCTTATGAAATATTCAACTTTGATTTTTTTTTTCTTCTTCTTTTCACTCTGTTTGCCTCTTTTAATATTGTCGCAAACATATTTTCGTATTTATTGTAACTTTTTTTGGAAGAAGCGTATCGATATAAATAGCTAATGATTACAATATTAAACATTACGATTGCACAAAAGAAAAATTTTATGGTTGTTCAAAATACAAGACCTATGATTGTAAAACAAGGAGAAGTGAAGGTAACATATTTTTTTTCTTTTTTTGGAAGAAGCGTATCGATATAAATAGCTAATAATTACAATATTAAACATTACGATTGTACAAAAGAAAAATTGTATGGTTGTTCTAAATACACGCTCTATGATTATGTAACAAGGAGAAGTGAAGGTAACATATTTTTTCTTTTTTTGGAAGAAGCGTATCGATATAAATAGCTAATAATTACAATATTAAACATTACGATTGCACAAAAGAAAAATTGCATGGTTGTTCTAAATGCACACCCTATGATTGTGAAACAAGGAGAAGTGAAGGTAACATTTCTTTTCTTTAAAATTTACTTCTTAAATTCGAATTAATTTCTATCGTAAGAAATAACAAATAAATACAATATTATACATTGCAACTGTTCGAACAATAATTAAATAATTATCACCAGTACAAACCCTACTACTGTGAAGCAGCAATAAATTGTGGTAACATTTCTTTTCTTTAAAATTTACTTCTTAAATTCGAATTAATTTCTATCGTAAGAAATAACAAATAAATACAATATTATACATTGCAACTGTTTGAACAATAATTAAATAATTATCACCAGTACAAACCCTACTACTGTGAAGCAGCAATAAATTGTGGTAACATTTCTTTTCTTCAATATTTGCTTCTTTCATTCGTCTACCGTAAGTAATAAATGGCAGGAAATAACAAATAATTAAAATATTATCCATTACATCTGTTAAAACAATAATAGAAAAATTGCTCTGAATGCAAACTTTTTACATTGTAATAAATTAGGAATAATTATTTTATTTTATTTACAGAATCCAACTGAATCTAGCATGCTTTTCATGCTGTAAAATATCGGGGGAATCTGACAATTCTATATAGGGCTCTTTGAATCCTTATTGAGCCAATATTCGTAAATTTTGGTTCAATCAGGGCTCAAATTATTTTGCTGCTAGGGTATTTATGAAAATTCAGACTGGATTTTTTTAAAATTTAAATCCAGACTAGAACCACTTTAAACAACTCGCAAGCCTTGTTTGAGGCGTAAAATATCAAATCTGAAAAAGATTGAAGCATATAAGTTGTAAAGCGGATAATAAATATTTTTTTTAATTTTCAGACAGCTGCGTACGTGACAGAGGTCGATTTTATCAGGGAACAATCAATATGACTAAATCTGGAATTCCATGTCAAAGATGGGACTCACAGGTAACTAAGTGTGTCATTGATCACACAATCACTCTTTTTTAAACACTATTTTTTCTTCATAAGCACTCATCAATACCGGAATGCATGAATTGAGCAAAAATAAGGAAGCAGCCTTTCTTTTAGCTGCAAAGAATTTGAAAATTTTCATTTCGCTGAACTGTTATAATATCTTGAAAACATTTAAAAATTGTGACACTGTTATCCATTCAAAATTTGATTTAACTAAAATGCTTTCCCTTTGACAAACTTGATTATCGCGAAGCATTTTTGCAGTAGTGGTGAGAGTAAGATTTTTTTAAAACAGAAATTTTTAAAGGGTGAATAGGTGTTTTATATTACTTTTATCCAAATATAATCATCATAAAATATATTTACATGCTGTGTCTTTTTATAAATTTTAGATTTTCCAGTTCTAACTTATTTTATTTTAATACCGTCGTTGAACAGCCGACAAAATTTTTTGGGTTCACGACTGCTAATGTTTAACACCGTAGCCTTATAATTTTGAACCTAATCCAGAAGACAAGGGAACTCCTGAATCAAATGTGACTTCTTGGAAGAAATTTGCCATAATGGATGACTTTTCTTGATGGACATAACCCAGATTTGCATTGCATGAGGGGAAAATCATAAAAACCTCCCACGGTTAGCCTGACGTCAAGGGGACTCTTACCCATGATCCGCCTAAAACTGAGGATATTTTACGTCTGCACTGTGGTCGGTGCGATTCAGGTGCGGAATTCGTATAGACCAGCCGTTGCTGGGATTCGAAACCAGTTCACCTCATCCAAGGACGAAAACTCTATCCCCTGAATCACCACGGTTCCAAGTTCTAATTTATTTTATAACCGTCGTTGAACAGCCGACCCAATTTTTGGATTTAGGACTACTAATGTTCAACTCCTTAGCCTTGTAATTTTGAACCCAATCCAGAAGACAAGGGAACTCCTGGATCGAGTATTGGGAGAAATTTGCCTTCGTGGAGGACTTTTTGATGGAACTAACCCACATTTGCGTTGGAGAGGAAGACCACGAGAACCTCCCACGGTTATGGTCTGTCTACCACTGAGGATATTTCACGTCAGCACCGTGGTCGGTGCAAGCCGGATGCGAAATTCATATCGACCAGCCATCGCCGGGATCGAACCCTGGTTCACCTCATTGGAAGGCGAACTGAGTCATCGCTGCTCAAGTTTTAATTTATAAAAATATTATAGCCTTTGCTACCACTAAGAGTTATATTTTATCAAACTACGAAAATTCTGTATAAGAGAATATGAATCCTTCTCCGCCATGTTTGGACGATGCAGATTTTGCATAAGTAGAAATTATACCATTTCAAAAGGCATTGATCATGATCTTTCAAAACGTACTAACAGTTTAACTACGTGAAAGTTTCGAAAACACTTACAGCTAAAGGCTGTACAGCTAGGATTACCAGTGTCGGGAAAACTAAAAAAGGCTGATAATTTTCTAAAAGGTAATTTAAAACTATAATATTGAAAAGAGAATAAATTTGTAGTATTACCTTTTCATTTTCTGCCTGTTCTGACGAGGAATAAAATATTCGTGACCACCAATGATTATTGATTAATCATAGATATTTGCACTTGCAAGCCTACCAACTTTTACGCTCTTCAAAAAAGTTTTCCCAAATAGTAGTGAAATAATTATTTTTGTTGACTTTGTTGATATTGTTGACAATTACTTTTATTTTCACCATCACTTAAATGCAATAAGATACTAGCTGGTCATCTTTATGTATGTTTCAACTATTTAAATGTAGTGGTAGTGAAAAGTACTTTAAGTCAAATTTGTTAAAACAGGAATCAAACAAGAATGTAAAAATTTTGCTACCACATTAAATATAATAAATAAAATCTTCTGGAAGAGTTGGCAGGTATGCAAGTATTGCAGTGCCATATCATATTCTTAGCATAATCTCATCTTACATCATACAAGCCGTTTAAAAATATTTTTCGAGTGCTTAAAAAGTACTTAAAAGGTGCTTTTTTTTGTTGAAAAATCTGGCTACGCACCCTGATGATGCTCTGCTAAATCTGAGCATGTTGTTCACCCTTCAAGTTGTTTTTCTAGTGTAGCATACAGCACAGATCAGTTCCCGGAGTTGTTTAGGTATTCAAAGAACAGGAGTTCTTCCCCTTTCTATATTTGAACGCTCTCAGAAGCACCGTTATTTGTTTTAAAGAAAGTCAAATAAAGGTTAAAGCTGTAAAGATTTTAAGATTTTTATCATAAACTATCCACAACAAATTACTGCTCCATTAGTACGAAACAGTGCAGTATTCGTGCAATATCTGTGAAGAGGTCACCAATAGGGTATTCATATCTGCCATACTTTGATCTTTTCAAAGATGATTTTCCGAAGTTGTGCTAAAAAGTGAATTTTAAAAAAAAATCGATCACAGACCAAAGTAATTTAATATTTTTTATAAACTTGCAACCATATTTAATTATTATGCTTTTATGTAAATGTTTATTTTTTTTATATTTGCATTAGTAATTAAAACCTTACTTAGTCAACCTTATTAATCTAAAACTTAAATGAAAAAGGAAACATTTTATTATCAATATAGATATTAAAAATTTGGCAACTATGACTATATCTCTCCCAATAATATGGTTTTCTGGTTGATCTCTCCCGATAATATGGTTTATGGTTGATCTCCTGATAATAAAATAATTTTAATGCCATTTATATTTCTTTCCCGCGTAATTCACTGCTTAATATGTAGTTTAATCGTTACGCTTATATTTAAGATAAATTTCAAATGAAATTCGTATTTTAAATTAGTTTTTTACAAAAAGATTTTCGAGAGAAAATGGGAAAAAATTAAACCTGACCCCAAAAAATAAATTGAAAAAAATTATTCATTCTACAACTTTTTGCCAACGTTTTTTCTTCAAATTTTTTGCCGTACTGTTTTAACTTATTCGAAATTGTTACCCCATTTTAAAAAAAATAATTAGTTCTAAAATTAATAGACTGAAACGATACGAAAAAAATTTAATCCCATAATACGCTTATGTTAATAATGAATTTAAAACTAAATTCGAATTTAAAATAAATTTTGTGCAAAAAGGTTTTTGTAAGAAACTGAGGTGAAAAATTAAACCTGATTCCGAAAACTAAATTGGCAAAGAATTATTCTTTCTGCAACTCTTTGCCAACATGTTTTCCTCAAATTTATTGCCGTAAAGTTTTAACTTATTCGAAATTGCTTCTCCATTTTAAAAAGCATAATTTTATTTTGAAATTAATCAATTACAAATTTGTCTCTTTTGATACGAAAAAAAATGCCAATCCCACAATATCGAACTCTTTTTAATTCTCTCGAATTCTTTTTTAAAAAAAACTAATCTTTATTTAAAAATTCCGATATTTTAAGAGTAACTTTTCTTTTTGCAATTCAACAGAAAAAGAGGCATAAAAAACATAAAGCGAGACAAATTTAATCTCATTGCTTATTAAAAAAGATTAAAAAAATATTAAAAGTGTCGGTGTGTTTACCAATCGCCGCGTCCAGGGATTTAAACAACGCTCCATTAATCCCTTGTCGTAAACGGATGAAAAATATCGTACATAAAATAAACTTTATCAATGAACTAAAACTGAAGAGCAAGAAAATGGAAATAAAAAGATAAGCTTTGAGTCAACACAACGATAAACAGTATTTTGAATAAATTAAGCAATATACGTTCGTAAATATAACCAGGAAAAAACTATAAACTAATTCCTTCAAGATATACTCTGCAAAATTTAAACTAATTTAATTATCGTGAGTTAGTCGCTGGATTAAATGTATTTAGAGGCTTAAAAAACTAAAATGCGTGAAATTATGTTTTTATTTATTTTATGGATATTTTTTAAAAAAACATCATACTAACTACATGCTTTAAGTGTAAACGCTCAATATTAATAAAAGAGTAAAATAAATTAATTTTACATCAATTTTAAAGTTTACTAAGCAACTATATGCTTTTTCAGTATAATTTTAAAATTTTCTTAAAAATCTAATTTATTATTTAATTTCATAATATCTTTTATTTGTATATTGCAGTCGGATCTCGATTTAACAAATCTATATTTATCGAATTTTGTGCTTTAAAGAATTTTTCATTTTCCCTGATTAAAATGCAGGCTCTATAAATGAATTAATTCCATAGCTGGAAAAAAAAATACTTTACTCTTTTTGATGAAATATAATTTTTTTGAACAATTTTTTTCTAGACATTTTGACGTCTTTTGATAATTTTATGAAGATAAAAGAGGAATATTCTTTTGTTTATTTATTAATGCCTCACCCATATTTCTTTTTACAATTTAAACCAGTTGCATTCCAACTTCCACACTGACTCGAAATCAAAAATATCTCCTCTGAAATTTATAATTTTTAGATCTTAATTGTACATTTAGTAGCCATCACATTATTTTATGATTGTTTGTTATTACATGAAATATTTAATCTTGCATTTTAAGTGATTTAATACTTACTACAGATTTAACCGCATATAAAAAGTAATCTGTCTGAAAGAGTTCAAAAACGTCAAACTTGTGTTTACCACTGAAAATTTCAAAACTGTACTTTCGTCACTAGGCTAAGATATTATTCGGAAAATTTCAAAACTGTACTTTCGTCACTAGACAAAGATATTATTCGGAAAATTTCAAAACTGTACTTTCGTCACTAGGCTAAGATATTATTCGGAAAATCTTGATATACCGTAAAAATCAATAATAAAAAACTTGCTTACATGAAAACTTATGTAATAACTTTGGACAAAAATGCTGCAAACTTTTTAGATGATCTATATTTTTTGAAAAAAATCTTGAGGTAGGTACTTTATTTACGTCGCACTAGAGCTGCACAATGGGCTATTGGCGACGGTCTGGGAAACATCCCTGAGGAAGATCCGAAGACATGCCATCTAAATTTTGCCCTGCTATGGTAGCCTGAAGACCCGCGCGTGAAATCGATCACTTCATGATAGAACAGTTTAACGACTACCGATACAGCCCACCCTCGGTCCTTACGCAGGCTGATCGAAGTATTCACCCTCCCGCTTACTGACCGCAGCCAAGTGATGCTTGACTGCGGTGTTCTACTGGGAACCGAGTCCTTATGATCAGTCCACTGCGGAGCGAAAAAATCTTATAACCCAAGTTTCTAAAAATACTTTAAAATTAATTTATAAATTCTCTCAAGGAGTGGAATTATCCAACACACAAGGGCAATGAATTAGTGCATTCGAAATTTACCTTATTTTTAGCAAGTGAATCAAACGCATACAAGTGCAAGTCACTTGTATGCTTTTTTGTGTAGTAGCATACACGAACTGTTTCATAAGTTCAGAATTCTTTTTGTTTTTGATCCCTATATTACGAATACCGATGAGCAGATGGCCGAGCGGTTAGCATGCCTGGCTACGAAGCCAATGACTGTAGATTCGAATCCCGCTCTGGGCATGAATTTTTCTCTCTGTGTTGCACTCGGTTGTGTGTGATGTGTGAATGTGGCCCACCCTATAAACGGGTATCTCCGGCAGTGTGGCGTGGATAATGTTGCTCGCCTCCGTGACTCTCACTGGCCAAGGTGCTCACTGGGTAATGCAAAATGAGCAACACTTCCGACGCCTTCAATGGCTGAGAACGATAGGTTCAGAGCCAAAACGATTACCACTAATTTAATTAATAGCATTTTCAGAACTGTTGAATTTTCTAAATTGGCCGGTGTCTACTAACTGCATTTGTTTTTGAAACAGTTTTATAAAGTTTGCAAAGTTTTATGAAAAGGAAAATAAATCTTTGAAATAATTCTAATATTATGAATACTAAATTGAATTTCAAGATGAAACGAAACTTTTGTATTTTGTTTGTTTTACTTTTAATTTACTAATTTTGAAACTGCTAAAGTGTATTGCACATAAATACATTTCTGAATCTAACTTACAAATTTTCACTTCCTTTAGTATTCTCAATATAATTGAAGCTGGTATTGAAAAGTAACACGACTCTGAAATGGATAATTGATTGATTTTTAAATATAATACAAATCGTATGTAACATAATTGATGCATATAATATAAACCATTTTTACTTATTGAAATGAGTGTAATCAAGGTATGATTATTTACACCATTGCGACAGGAACCTCATCATCATAATCGTCCTCCAATGGTGTTCCCAGAAGTACTTAATTCAGAGAATTATTGTAGAAATGCCGGTGGTGAAGAACCCATGCCTTGGTGTTACACTATAGATCCCAGAATACGGTGGCAACATTGTGATATCCCACGTTGTGGTAAGAGTGACTTTGTGTCATTTTGATTTTTTTTTTCTTTTAATATTTTTCACGGCAATAAAGACTTATTTTGCATAGCGAAAAAAGATATATTAAAGAAGCAAAAGTACTAAGAACCAATTACCTATTCGCCGTCAATAGTTGATTAAAAAGTTCAGACCACTTTCATTTAGCTTGTCATGTTGTTGTTGTTGTCGTGTGCCATTAAGGCAAAGGGGTGCACTTCCTCTTGTTTTCCAGTGGAGCCATCTATGACCAAGAATTCTACTTCTACAACACACATACGTTACAGTCCATTTATTGACGGACCCCTTCATACATCCATTCATTAATCCACAGATCGTAATTTTGACCTGAACCAGAGAACGATCAATCTCCAATTCAGTAACCCCAGAGGTTTAATTTGTTATGGAAACATTGAGAACTTTGTGACCCAACAGATTTACGTGCAGCAGTCACCATTTACAATACGGGGAATCTTTGGCCAGTTGGAATCGAACTCGCGACCTCTTGGACATGGGAGCAACACCCTACCAACCTGGCTATCCCGGCTATTTACAATAGCTTGTCATTATTACACAATATAACCTTGAGCATCCTCATTTATAAGCCTTGATTCTATGGACTTTTTTGCTATTGAGTAAGAAAAAGTTATATTTCTACCGTATTTCCTCAAAGAATAAGTAGTAATTTACAAGTGCGATTTTTTAATATACTTTTTAGAAACCATAAGTCATGTATGAAATTAAATTAAAATAATAAAAAAAATGCTGTTTAAGGAAGAATTATTATATCGAAATAATTTAATATATTCTAGCTATTTTTTGTGAACTCTAACGAATATATTATGCATTTCATTATCGATTTTTTTGAAAAAATTTTCTAATAATAGATCTGCCTTTTAAGAAATATTGGCATTTTCTGAAAAGAATTTGATTCATGACATCCTTGCTCTAAAAGTTAGTCTACAGTACCTAATTCGAGTCTAGCCTACCTGGACTCAAATTAGCCATAGACTCAATTATAGTCTGGCAAGACTCAAATTAGCCATAGAACCTAATTTGAGTCTAGCCTACCAGTATTTCTTCCAAAGAAACACAGGATTGAATGCAGAGCCACGACTTAAGTGAAATGCATCTATTTCCTCATCAATGTTGCAAAATTTGCAAGGTGAGCGTGGTATATTGTTTATTCGATAATGTTTTAATAAGGAGTCATTGATCAGTAGCGAGAGAAAAGACAGTCTTTCTACGTCAAGACGGGATGTCCATAACACCAATCCACGTTTTTTTTCAATTATTCATTTCAATAATATCACTCCAAAAAGCTTTTATAATGTTTTACTAGTTTTTTCGCAGTTAAAATGAATAGGGTTACTACAGGAACAGTTTACCAGTTAAAAGGAATGGGGTTATAACTTTTTTGAAGAATACTGGCTCCTTCATTTGCCAAGCTTCATTTCCATGACGGCCACAGTGTGATGGCATCCACTGCATGGGAACTTCTTTACCGTTTATAGTAAAGATATTTATCAACTGGTGACATTTTAAAATATCAACTGGCATAGCATATTTAGAAGAAGAAATTGCTTTAAGTGAGTCATAGAGGATAGTAAACTTTGAAAATAGTTCAAAATGGCATTGAAGCTAAGATATTGCTATACGAATCGCAATCAAATGCCACAATTTAGTGAACGACTAACGACATCTGTTCGTCAAAATCTGAATGAAACGTCTACACTGTATATAATTTATTTCACTAGTTAAACGGTGAAAAGGTGGGATGCGCTCCTCCTTAAAAGAAAAAAAACACATGCCTGCAAAAATCACGAGCAAATTTTGCTCGTGATTTTTGGGCTCGTGATTTGAAATTACGGGATGAGCAGCCAGATGGTTAAACATAAAAAAAAGTTCTGAATTTTAGAAGTTTTTAATACTTGCACAAACAAGCTGGTGAAACTTACCGTAGCCCTTTAAACAAATTAAAATTCAACTCTATTGAAACTGTTCTTTTTATCTTCTCATAATGTCATTTAAGCTATATTCTTAAATTTTTTTCGTTTTTCAGAAAACAACAGTTATATACTTGCTGCAGATTTAGAACTCATGGATTTATTCGAACCTCCTCCGGAACCAGTTTTCTCTCCTACTTTCATTTTGATTACTTGTGCTCTCAGTCTAGTTGTTGTAGCCATGATAATTATTGTCGTCCTCGGTTGTAGAAGACTTCAAAAATACAGAAGAGGATACAATGCTACGCCTACAACCGACGTCGAAATTGATTTGGAGAAGCTTCCCTCAAATATGGCTTACCATCATACTTCAGCTCAACTCAACCCTCGTTTGGAAACTTTAGAATATCCCAGAAATGACATCATTTATATTCGGGATATTGGCCAAGGAGCATTTGGAAGAGTGTTTCAAGCGAAAGCTCCGGGGTTGCTAAAAGGAGAAGAGTTCACGATGGTTGCCGTAAAGATGCTCAAAGAAGAAGCTTCCGAGGATCTTCAGACAGATTTCGAGCGAGAAGCTTGTTTGATGTCCGAATTCGATCATCCGAACATTGTCAAGCTTCTTGGAGTGTGTGCCGTGGGTAAGCCTATGTGTTTATTGTTCGAATACATGGGCAAAGGTGATCTGAACGAGTACTTACGAACCTGCTCACCAACCAATTACATAGTAAGGACGGCCAATGGTAATATCTACAATGACGTCAGAATGACACACGCTGACTTGCTAAACATTGCCCGTCAGATAGCTGCAGGTATGACGTACTTGTCTGAGAGAAAGTTTGTTCATCGGGATTTGGCAACAAGGAACTGTCTAGTAAGTGAGGACATGGTGGTTAAGATTTCCGATTTCGGTCTCTCGCAGAAGATCTACACGGCAAACTATTACAAGGGAAATGACCATGACGCGATCCCCATTCGCTGGATGCCATTGGAATCCATCCTTTATAACAAGTTTACAGTGGAGTCTGATGTCTGGGCGTATGGTGTAGTATTGTGGGAGATATTTTCATTTGCTCTTCAACCCTATTACGGTCTGACTCATGAAGAAGTAGTGAAATACATCAAAGAGGGAAACGTTCTTCAGTGTCCTGATAACACTCCTTTACCCATCTACCACCTCATGAAAGCTTGTTGGAACCGCAAGCATTCAAACAGACCGAGCTTTAAGACTATCTTTAAAACTCTTGGTGTTATTCAAGAGGAGCTGCAGCGGCATGCTTATAAAGAACAGAAAGTCCATGTGTAAATTGAAATTTGAGCTTGTTTCATACAGCCATCATACTATCGCACAAGTTTTATTCAAAAATTATAATCGATGCCAAAATACAGCAATAAAAGTAGAAAATTATTTTCAAAACATGCGGTGATTTAGTGTATTATATGCATATATATATATTTTTTTTTACAGAAAAAGTTTTTGAAATCCAAATGAAGAAAATTTAAAATTTCCAATTAAGTTTTCTCATTGTCCCTCAAGTAAGACAATTTAATTGTTTGTTCCAATTAATATGGTGAGGTGAGATCCTGGTTTAAGCAGGGTTAAAGGTCAATAATCAGACTGAAAGCCATGTATATAAAAGTTCATAATTGAGCCTCTCTTGACATACTCAACTCAGTAGAGCACCTTTGATCAGGACTGTTGAAAAAAAAGGAAATTTTTGTTACTATTTAATGAAAAATTCAAAGCTGTAGAAGTTTTCTAGCTTTAATTGGTTCAAAATTTGAGACTAGTATATTTTTCATCTTTATTAAAACTATTAAAACTCCTTAATTTTGCCACCACATTATCGATTACAAAACTTTTAAGAATGCTCAAACGAAATGAAAATTGTATACTCTATTTAGTGAAAAAGATAATAAAATTTGATCTTTGAATGGATTACCAGGAATTGTAAGAATAGCGTTTACCTTGGTTTATGTGAATAGAGCCCTAGTAGTTAGAGAATTTTTTTTTTCAAGTAGAATCTTGTACGTAAAGTTTGAGCAGCGCAGTTATTTCAGAGCAATCTTAATTCTCTGCAGAGCTTTCGCAGAATCTGCACACGTGAGCGGACGACAAGCTGCTTGAAAGTACATAAATATCTCCACTGTCTGTCGTGATCATTCAGTTTTTTTCGTCTCTGTGTTTTTTAACTCTTTAAAACGGTGATTCTCGTATGAAATGGTATCTATATACGACCGCCACAACTTTTTTTTAATTTTTTTTACTTTCACAATTTTTATTTCACCATATGATAATCACCATAACTTTTTTTAAATTCTTTGAAGTTCACAATTTTTATTTAAATGTGTCATAATCACAATTTTTAAAATTCTGCGCTAAAAATATTATGTTCCTTTGGTTAATAAGTTTGTTAAGAGAAAAATATGTCGTTTAAATGCTTCGTAGTTTATAACGCAAACGTATAATTAATTTTTTACTGAATTTTGGCATCGATTATAGAAGCTTTGGCAATCTCTGATGAATGTTCTTACAAGTCAAAGTTAAACTGTAAAACGTAAAATGTGTGAAAGAACATGAATAAAATTTCACAAATATTTATGTATTAATTAATTTATTGAAATTTATATTTTATTTTATACACAATCGCCTGCCATTTATTAATTTTCTTTAAATTTATTCCTAAACTACAAATAAAGTTGTCAGAAAAGTCGGCAGCAAGAAATTTTTACTCAGTTTTATCTAAATATTAGCTTCTGTTTTCATATTTTAACGCAGATCCATGCATTATCGGAAAAAAGACACTGTTTCAAGCGAATAATTCATTATTTTGTTTAAATACTCATAAGAGTGTAGAGAGCAATACTTTTAATAATTTTTCTCTAATAATATCTACTTTAAATATCTTATATGTATATTAAATCAAATAAAAAAATAGCGAATATTATCTTAGGTTGCTAATATTCTTGCTTATTTTTGCAAAATTAAGTCAATCGAGAAAAATTAAATGTATGTAACTCGAAAGTTTTATTGTTGATTTAATTTTTTTTAAAGAAATTGTAGCAAAATTTAACTTTTATTATGTAGTTAAAGGCCTCTAAGTTTGCTACAAGAACTTTATATCTGTTAAAATTTCCTAAATATTGCATATTTTTTATATTGCTATTTAAATATTTGTTTTTTGTATCGAAATTATCAAAACAATTTAAAAAACGGTGAAAAAAATACTTAGTCTTTAATTCGAAATATGAATTATGTAATAAGTATATCTTGTTAATTTGTTAAAGGCCTCTAAATTTGTTATACGTCATTTTATTTCTGTTAAAATTTCCTAAAATTGCATATTTTTTACATTACTATTTAATCATTTGTTTTTTGTATCAAAATTATCAATCAAATGAAAAATCGGAAAGAAATACTAATTCTGTAAATTGAAATATGAATTTTTAATAAATTTTAGAACTGAAGTACATGTTCAACTGATTTAATTGGTTGTAATTATGATAACGTGTCATGAAAATGACATAATTAGAAATATAACACAAATTAATTACAATTAAAAAATTTACAATTTTTAATGTAACAATCAAAGAAGTTGAACAATCTAAGACGTTGAAATTTTTTTAGAGAAATCTCAAATCTTTAATAATTGATAAGAACATGATATATAAGATTATTTACTTTTTGAAACATTTTTCTTAATTATTATTTTCAATGTTTTAACTGCTGTACAAACAATTTGTTAAAAATGTATATAATTTGCATTGTAAATATAAAGCTTGTTATATTCAATAATTATATAACATTGTGATATTGTAATTGTTTATGAAAGTACGTAAAGTTTGTTCTAAGTCGTAGTTAAAGAGCCAATCTTGAAAAAAAAAAGTCACAATTATTGAACTAAGCATTTTTGTTATACCCGTTGCTAAGCTGGGATAAACTTGCCATAATTTAATTTTGTACGTCTCTTTTAATTTGGAAATGATCTATACATTGTTAAAAGTAAAACTTATTTGATTCATTGTATTATAAACTTAAGTATAATGGAATCTAAAAATGTTTCTATTTACTTAAGCTTAAGTTAAACTTTTATAATTAGAAACTCAAACTTTTATAATTTTCACGAAAGTTTTTTCTTTAATGCCGCCTTTAATATATTTCATAAATTCGAATAGATTCAATAAACTCATATCTATAATTAATTAATTTGAAGTCTCTTGATTTAATAATTCTAAATTTTAACCTCCATAACCTATAAACAGTTTAAGCATACATTTAAAAGGATTGGTTGGATAACCATTCTGTGGAATTTTGCTATCAAAATAAAAACTAATGGTTGCTTACTTTTATTTATTATTTCTTTGCCACTAGGAAAACTCTTGGTCAACAAACATAAATTTCGGACAACAACGAAAGAAAACAATGTCAACAACAACAAAATTATCTGTTAAGTCTCTGCTGCTTGTGTATTTTTAATATTAAATTAATTATTTAAATTAATTATTTAAATTACATAATTAATAAGTATAAATATTAATAAAAATTAAGTTATAATTTTATTATTTAATTATTGTCGCAATTTTTTAATTTTAAAGGACAGTTCGAGCACTGCTTTCATAAGTTTGGGGCATGAAATCACTCACGGAAGAATTAACATATTGGCAATATCTTACAAATCTTTTTCATTCATGATTCGCACGAAAATTATGATTCGCATGATTCGCATGATTCGCACGAAAGAGATTCAACTTACAGATCAACCAACGGAGAATTATCTGAACAAATCTTATTATTTATTCAATAACCAATATTTAATTATGACTATTTTTTGTTTCATTTTATCCATCATAGTATCTTGCATTGAATCCAGCGATCAAATTTTAACTTTTTTGGTTTTAGACATTTTTAAAAGTTTTACAAATTTCCTGTTGTAAAATCAATTTTATGGTAAGCTGATAAGAGAATGATAAAAGTTATTGTTTCAATTTGATTTCCTCATACCATATATGTATACCGGGATTGATATGGGAATTTCTAAAAAAATATATTTAAGTCAAAAATAAAAGTTTGCAGAAATTCTGACTGATAATCTAAATAATATATATTCAGTAAAAAATATACTTACGTTGCAAAGAAAGATGAATAAAATGTAATTATCCACCCTCAATTATGACTAGTCAATGTGAAAGCATGACCAATATCAAGCAATAAATTTTAAATTTATGATTTGAGTTTCCAGTAAAAGAGCTGAAAAACGTTGCTATAATATTGGATAATGTAATGACTATAGATGCCGGCGTCCCAAAGTATAAGTTATAGCAAATTTTCGTTTGAATTATTTAAAAATTTTATTTAACAATGATTTTGACTACCACAACCCTATGCATTTATATGAGACTTCATGTTAACAAGTGCATACTTGTTACTTGTTCTAATTTGTCTAACAATTTTATTTCAATATTTAGAATGGTACTATATTGTGTGATTTAACATTGTATTGTTGATTTAAAAATTATATTTAGAATAAGTTTGCTACCACTACATAAAAACAACTTAAATATGTATATAAAACCAATTAATGTCCGAAGTTATAAATGCCTGCCAAATAAAGCAAATTAAGTTTAAAATAATTTTATTTGGCTACCGTTTTAAATATTCGGGGAAACTAGCATTTTCGGGTTGACAGCTATCATGGGTGAAAGCCCTTATATAGCAAGACGGAAAAGAGAAAAACCTGGTACGTAAAACATTTCATTCCAGCATTTTTTTCGAAAAAAATGAANCACTAATTTACTTTCAATTAAGTTTAAAATAATTTTATTTGGCTACCGTTTTAAATATTCGGGGAAACTAGCATTCTCGGGTTGACAGCTATGCACATGGGAAAGTTTTTCATTGTTTGAAAATTTAAAGAAATTCTGTGTTCCATAATTTTCTTTTTACTGCCACATTTAATATTTTAGATAAGTTGGCATCGTTAATAATAACTTTCAAATAATGTGAGAGAACATTAGGATTTAACCAATTATGAATTTAATCTGAAATTTTATGATTATTTTGAATTGAAACTTGTGGAATTTTTTCGCTACCACTTACAATCTTTCGGAGAGCTCAACATCCGGGTATTTATTCACTAATTTTTTCATTAAATTAATAATAATTTCAAGTTGCTCGACAAAATTTAAATTTTGATGAATTAATTTACCTGTGCTTGAAGCATAAACTAATTAACAATCATTTTAAGAAATCCTACAAGAGTTTGAAATTAGAATTCTGCTAACATCAAAGAAGTTCAGGTTTGGGGATTATCTGAAAAGGAATAGAATTAAACAACGTGAAACAATCATTGAATTTACTCAAAGTTAAAAAATATAACAATAATTTTCATGTCAAAGTTGTTATCATGTGAACCGAATCTTGTAATAAATATACATGTACATATTTACTTATTTTATGTGCAATATTGTCTTGTGAAAATTTTGCTGAAACAGAAAGAATAAAATTCTTTGTACGATTTGTTTGTAAATTGAGAGTATTTATTTGCATCATTTGAACAATTCCAATTATTACGCTGACAAGTACTACAATATTTAGTTGGAGCAATTTTTCAGCTATTTAGATTTATTACAGATATACACTATTTACATTACAACTATATATTACTTCAGTTATTCAGTGTGCCAAAAAAACGGACCACCTTGCATAACTTTTGATCTAATGATCAGATCTTCAAGTTCTTGGACTTGATCTTAATGGCATGAGGGCATGATCTCAAATAGGCAAATTAATAAGTGCAGACGATATTTTAAAGTACGAAACCAGGCACGAAAATATACTTTCTCTGAATAAAGATGCCATTTTTTCGACGGATTCAGATTTCTGACCCCCAAAATATATGTGGCAGCGCGATCTGGGAAAGATGGTCCCAATAGTTCAGTCAGTAGAGCGCTCCACAAATTGAACCCCTTAATGCTAATTTTACTTTTTGTCTATTTCGCTATATCTCGAGAACTTTATAAGGGAATCAGGAACAATTTTGCACACAATTGTAAAATTCGTTTATCCAAAGATAATTCCCTGCAAAAATAACTATTAGTAAATATTATTTTTTATTATTTAATCGAATGATGATTAAAAATATTAATTGCATGGTATAAAATTTTTTGAATGATTTCAAAAAATTTAATTTTACTTGGCAAAATACAAAATTTGAGCAAAATCAGTCTATTAGTTCCTGAGAAATCGAATTTTAAATATCTGACTTTTTTTTTAAAAAAAAGGCATGTTTATTCAGAGTAAGTACATTTTTGTGCTTGATTTTGCCCATTAAAATATCTTCTGCTCTTATTAATTAGTATATTTAAGATCACCCTTTTGAGCCAGTAAGATTGAGTCCTAGAACATGAAGATCCGATCATTAGATCAATATTCAGGGTGGTTCGTTTTTTTTTGGTGCACTGTACACTAAAAAAAAGGTTAAAAATTTAATCACACTACTAGCATTTAAACAGAGTGATCGCGAAATTTTCGTGTCCTTTATTCGAACTTTAATGACATGCAATGAAGATACATTTTCTCCAAAAGAGTTAAGGAATGAGAATAAGTTTTTGGAAAGAAGTGATGAGTAACAGTTCCACTAAACTGCTAAATAATTAGTTCGAATTTCTCGGGTTTGGTCTTATTCTATGTAGCGTTAAAAAAATATATCAAAAACAATGACTCAATTGCCTATTAAGAAATTACTCAAATCGTGCCCATTTCCCTAAAAAAAGAGGAAGAAGCGTACAGAGGAGAGAAAGAGAGTTTTCAGGTATCATTTATTATAGCATGTTAAAGCTATTGTTAAAAAATATCTTTGGTATAAATTTTTCAGAAAAAAAAACACTCTGTTTTTGCTATTTTTTGCAATAATGGCTGGTCTATAAATGTTATTGTTTAATGGTTATTAAAATATAAAAAAAAACTGTAAAAAATTCAAAACTGAAATAAATAATTCACGACACGACACGAAAGAGTTAAATATTTCTTTCCTTTTTATTAAAATCTTATAAAATGGTTTCTAAGAAATCTATAATAAATTCAGTTACTGTGTAAAAAAAATTTACAAGCTGATATAAAAACAGCATTTATAATAATCACAGGAATTATATTTTGCGATTGAAAAATAAATGCCTTTATTGATAAGTATTGAAACAAATAATCACAAAAAGCTAAAGTTTGAAATTATTATTATTATTTTGTAATTTCATCAAAACCTTTAAAAATACATTTTGGCAAACATTTGCTTCATTTATCGTAGATTTTTTTCCAATGTAATCTTGGCTAAATAAAACAGTTCAGGCCTAATCAAAAATTTTAACTCAAAAAACACGATCGAATAAAGAGATCTACAAAATCAATTATCGCACTGTGTTGAAAGGTTGGACATAAATTTACCTCCAATAATGTGACATTCTCAACATCAGTCCTTTGAGATTTTCTTCATTTATAGGGAGCACAGATTCTTTAGTAAATAAATTCAGTTCTTCCCCACCCTTACTCCTTAAAATGCATTAAAATTAATTATAATTTATCGCTTTTGACCACTACTGTCTCCCCTTTGTTTCCTTTGACCACTACGGTTTCTCTTGTTTTCACCTATTGATTTTTCTTCCTTTCTATCGATTTAACTTCATATAACATTGCTGATAGTTTCGAAAAACAGTCTGACTAGACATTCTATAGTTAAGCGAAAAGAAACTGATTTCAAATCGATAGTTTAGTTAATATAAATAGAATACATATTTTGATACTTTTCGGTTTGCCGGGCGCAAGCGAAAAATCGCCAAAAAAGTTAGAACTCTGCCAACTGTTTTTAAATTTTATTATTTTCTACTATTTTTTTATTATATTTATTTTTTAAACGCATAACAAAATGAACATTCACAAAAAAATTAAAGAAAAGAAAAGAAAGCAAAAAATAAATATTTCTTCGCGCTTGACTAAACGATAAGGGCCCGAATTTTATAAGGAAGTTTATGTTTAGCCAATCAAACTTCCTCCACTTATTTAAATAAAAAGGGCATCTAGTACTGCTGATAAAAGTTTGGCGCCTTTTAAAGGTATTTCCAATGAAAGATAGATATCTAAATAAAATTATAAGTTGGCAACTGATTTCGTAGACAAACTGGAATAAACACTTAAGAAGCAACAAATATCTAATAAGTTAGTTTACCTAATAAAGCAAAAATGCTCAACAATTATTTTCATTCTTGCCAAATTTTTGCTCGTAAATATCAATAGAATGAAAAATGTATCTATTAATTTCATTTATAGAGTTCGAAGATCTCCAAGCCAGAGGTTGAACTAGATCACTCGACTATAAACATTCAATCAATTGCCATTATATTGAGGCCTTAACAGCATCCAGGCGCTTACACTAATTTACTTTCAAATGTATCATTTTAGATTCCAATTGTTTGCTACTGGTAACTAAATGATCAATGATAAAATTTCAGTAGTGAAGTGACGTCAGCTTAGACATCTCAATTCTATAACTGTTCTCAACTGTTTTTAAATGTCAAAATGAAATAATTAAAAGTAGGAGCCCAACAACTAAACTTCCTAATTAGAATTTACGAAACAGACAGTAAATAAAAGTAAAGATACGGAGCAACTGTTAACAATTTGGACTCTTCTTGGTATTTTAAGTGGTTCAAATTATGTAAGCCCTTTGCCCGTTTTTTCTTGAGTAAAGAAAAATGCTTCACAGAAATCTTTTTATAGCTATTATTTTATTTATATTTATAGAATTTTGTTTTATTTTCATATCGGATGAACTGGCGTTCGGAAAATGGGTGTTTAAACTTACAGGAACTATCCAGATAAGTAGAGTGTTCGTTAGAAATAACATATCTTCTCCAAATACAAACGCATCAGAAATCCAGCCAAATATAACAAGTATGCCTCTTGCTAGAAAATCAATTCCTCTGAAAATCGGAACACTTTTAAATGGGACAGAAAACAATGAGTATTGCATTGTTGAGCCTTTAAACTTAAAAGGGCGCCAAAAAATTTTGCTAGATGGACCTTCGATTGAAACATTGGCAAAGACTTTTGCAAATCTTTATCCAGGCGGTCGTTTTAAGCCCGATGATTGCCGAGCAAAAGAAAAAATAGCCATAATTGTACCTTTCAGAGACAGGGAACAGCATCTGAGAATATTTCTCCACAATCTACACCCATTATTGCAAAGACAGAAGCTGGATTACGGCATCTACATTGTAGAACAGATGGGCAGCAAGCCTTTCAACAGAGCAATGTTGATGAACATTGGATACGTTGAGGCATTGAAGCAATATGATTATGATTGTTTCATTTTCCATGATGTTGATCTAATACCAGAAGACGATAGAAATCCTTATAAATGCTCTGAACAACCTAGACATATGTCTGTAGCCATAGATAAATATAAATATGCACCATTATATGAAGGTTTATTTGGTGGCGTGAGTGCAATGTCGAAAAAACATATGGAGACGGTTAATGGATTTTCTAATTCATATTGGGGATGGGGTGCGGAAGATGATGACATGTCTAACAGAATAAAGTACCACCATCTAAAGATAACTCGTTATCCTTCTAACATTTCTTATTACACAATGTTAAAGCATAAAAAAGCCAAGCCGATGCAAGACTTGGCGAAAAAACTGAATATAGAGAAGAAAAGGTTTCATACTGATGGACTGAATAGTCTGAAGTATGAAAGGGTGGATATATTGTTTCGAAAGCTGTATACTTGGATTGTGGTGAACATATAACTTGTTGGGGGATTTCATGCCCTCAAGCCTGATATTTTTTAAAGTAATAATAAAGTATTGAAGTTTATTTGTAGTGATGAGATTTAAAGTACAATCCTTTCTTATCCATCCATCCTTATATATTAAAAAGTTCTTATTGATATTTAATCTAAGAAGATAGATTTATAAGAGGTGTCATAATGCTCTGAAGAAAAATGTGGTGAAGTGACTATTTCTGATTTGGTACTTTTTTGATTACTAGGTACCAAATAAAAATCAGTAACAGATCCTGGGATAAATTGGTTGCCAAGTTCTGGCGACAACAGGGCAGTGGCACGTGAAAATTTTGAAAATAATTTTGGTTAAAATGCCGAATTGGGGCCCCTTATTTTGGCAACTAATTTCAGTTGTAAAATTTCGCTGAAACTCAATTTCTAGTTACCATAATATTCTTTCCTTACTGTACCTGTTTTTAATGAATTCAGCATCGGGTTACCACAATTTCTATTTACCGTTATGTGATTGTTTCTTGGTTAATTTTCATATGTATATATATGTATGTTTTCGAATTGCCAAATATCAGAGGGTCCTCCTATTCTACACTTAAGCTGTATATTTTTTTTAAAAAAACGAAGAAAAATACAGGGTTTTTTTCTTGGTCTGTTGCAAGTACGAGAACTGAACTTGGCACCTTGGTGATTACAGTTACAGTTTGTATTGATATGAGACAGGTATGTCCGGAGAAAATATAAAAGTCTACCATAATAATTCTAGAATCCAAATAATGGAGAAGAACCTCAAATTTGCATTTTCCGATCTCTTAGGTGGTATATAAATATAGCACATGCTAAAAGTGCATAATATATTTAAAACAAAAAGATTCCTCCTAAAAGAAATAGTTAGCATCAATTATCACTTAATTCAATTATATTTAAAAACCTTAAGTCAATTATAGATTAAATTTACTAAGCTCTGAATATAGCAAATAGACATCTTTCATTGAAAATATTAAATTTCGTGATGAGCACAAATTTATTAAGTTACATTTTTTTTTCACTTGCGCTGTCACTTTATTTTAGATTTTTAAGCTCCATGTGGATCCTGTGTTCCCTTGTGGATCTACAAATAATGACCACAACTGTAATGGGACTTCTTGGCTTAAACTTTGGTTCAAATTTTTTTCTGTACATTATACAGAATGGATGCTTTTAAATTCGATAAAATATCTCTTAAAAATGATCGTGACATCAGAATAGATGTAAAAGAAACAGCATAACTCTAATTAAAATATTCTACACTTTTTTTCCTGCGTAATTTTTTGTAAAACTTGCATAGTACTTTAGAGACTATATTTCACAGTAATAATTACTTAAATAGTTCCAAAATTTTATACCTCTTTGTTATTTTATACCATGAAAATAATTGCACAATAATTATTGTAAATAATTATTTAAATAATTATTGTAAATAATTATTTAAATAATTATTGTAAATAATTACACAATAATTATAGTAAGTAACTATTTAAATAATTATTGTAATAATTACATAATGATTATTGTAAGTAATAATTATTGTAGTAATTATTTAAATAATTATTGTAAATAACCATTTAAATATTTATTGCAATAATTACATAATAATTATTGTAAGTAATTACACAAAAACAGATTGTGAAGGCCAAGAAAGACATAAAAGAGAAAACACAAGAATAAAATCATAAAGACGAGACATGGAAGTGTGCACAAAGCAAATCACAACGCTGGAATCACGCATAATTCTTTTAAATCTCGAAATAAAATTTTAATACATTTCTTTCATTTAAGGAAAACTAAAAATGTAAAGTAAAATGCTTTGAAAAGTAAAATATTTCAGAGAAACCAAGAAAACTAACATTGTTTAATTTTTCCCGCTCTTTTCCTTAAAGGAAGTGAAATTGACATTTTCTTCCCTAATCTTCAGAAAATTTCAATTATCTATGCTTCGTCGCTCTTTACAGAGAAGCTTACTCTACTATTTTCAATGAAATAAGCATTTGTCTTGGCAGGTTTTGCGGCGCTGAGCCATAATGACTTTTTTTTTCTCTTCTAGACCCCCTAAAGCCGCTTAATTTCGTCGCCAAGTTTCATTAATTCAGAGCATGGCCTTTAATATATTCTATGTGCTGAAAGGGAATAATGTAGCTCTCGTTCGTTATAATGTAATTCATAAAAAGAATATCTTTTGTAGTCAAAATTAAAATAATGTCCTGTCTTTTCTGCTCAATCTCGTATTACTCACATCATTGGTTTTCAAATAAAGAGAGAGAATTTCTTTTTTAGAAAAAAAATTGCATTCAATAAAGTTTACAAAATTCGATCGATTTTTTTTCCATCAAATTAAAGACACGTTTCAGTTATTGGTTCCAGTTTAGTGAGCATATTTCATTCTTTTTTATAATGTTACTTAGGGTAATGACTACTGGTACTGTAACTGTAATGATATTCGTTTTTATATTATTTATTTTCACGAATACAATTTGAACTTTTTGTCTTACCAAAATGCTGTAATTATTGATACTGGTTAAACCCAAATGTATTTCCCAATGTGTCGAAATTTGAAAATATTATAATATTTCACAAGATGCGAAAAGCACCTTATATATAAAAATGTATCAAAAAAGTTTTAATACATTTTTATTAAAATTGCTTATTTGCTTAATTGATTCCCAGATAAATATATATTTGAAATTTATCCTCTTTGGCATCATTCATGCTATTTATCTATCTGTCCATCATTTACGCTATTTATCCTTCGATGGCATCATTTATACTATATGTCTGTCCACCATTTACGCTATTTATCCTGCCATGGCATTATTTGTGCTATATATCTACCTGTCCATCATTTACACTATTTATACTGCTATGGTATTATTTATACTATCTCTCTATATGTCCTTCATTTACGCTATTTGTATAAGAGACTATTAGAACTATGGCATCATCTATGCAATCTAAGTGATAAATCGTGACATTAAAGTTAGTATAAAGAATTGAATTGGAAAAAACGTTTCGTTTCTCTAGCTATCATTAACGTAAAATTAGTAGCATTATAAAGAATTGTTACAGTTGATGGGAACCTAATGTGTATAAAAAGTCAATTATGATAATAAATGTTAGCTAAGTAGTTTAATTTTTTAAATTTATTTTCTTAATTAAATATTTATCTTAAGTACTTCGCAACGACCGTNCTGAAATGAACTCTGCGTCCCAGGAGGTGGAGCCAAGTCTCAACTTCGCGTGAACGAACTATACATGCGTGTATCAAAAAAGTTTTAATACATTTTTATTAAAATTGCTTATTTGCTTAATTGATTTACTTTGGCATCATTTATGCTATTTATCTATCTGTCCATCATTTACGCTATTTATCCTGCCATGGCATTATTTATGCTACCCTTCTATCTGTCATTCATTTGCCCTATTTATCCTTCTATGGCATCATTTATGCTAACTATCTGTCCATCCTTAACGCTATTTATCCTGCTATGATATTATTTATGCTATCTCTCTATCTGTCCTTCATTTACGCTATTTGTCCTATTATGATATTATTTATGCAAACTAAGTGATAAATCGTGACATTAAAGTTAATATAAAAAATTAAAATGGAAAAAAATGCCTCGTTTCTCTAGCTAACGTCCTAAACAAATACTTGTTCTTTTCTTTCCTTTTTTTTTCTTTTTCGAAAAAAAAATATTTGCACAAAAAATGTACGCGAACATTGGGTCACACTACAAAACAAATTACAGAAGGTGAAATCAAAAAGTCAAAAGTCATTAAATGTATTTTTGCCGGGATCCTAGGAGTTTTCAGATTGGTTGTATTGGATGGAAACTTCGTTTAATTTCACGGTGTGCCCAAGGGTAATTCACTTTCCACATCAGTTAAGTCAGATTCACTAGATATAAAGCATCATGCTTTGAGATCAATGTGGAATGTTTAAATCACAGTTGATTTGATGATCAAATTACGCATAGTACTCGAAAAAGAAGACATTTTAGAACATCTCAGCAACAAAGATCAGAAGTCTTCAAGACCTGAGAAATGAAGGATAACCAAATCCTAAGTGCAAAGAATGTTGATTGTCTTAGACGATAAATGCCCGGTCCATAGTATTTCAACCTCGGAAACCGATCATCGACACTGTTTACTATTTGGTTGTCTTGGAAAAAAATTGGGAAACGATTCATCTGCAAGAGAAAAAACATCGTTACTACCTGGCTGTTGCATCATGACCATGCAACCTAGCCTTCCTACTTTTGAGAGTTGTTCCAAACAAAGCACAAAATGGCAACACTGCCCCAGCCTCTGTACACTCTAGATCAGGGGTGGCGAACCTTTATACACCAACGTGCCATTTTTTCGAAAAAAATTTTTAATGAAGTCACAGATGTGCCGTGAAATAATTTTGACTTCATGATTATTGGGAAAATAATAATACTAAATACTATCAACTCAAAACTCTTTATTTACATTGAAAAAAAATACATTTTGCAATTTCTCAGTTATAGGCGTAATTCAACTTAAAGCAACATCAATGGGTCTTCTGCTGTTGCAGATTAGATGACAAATAACTTATATTAGGTTGTAAGATATTAGTTTAAGCAGGATTGTTGATTTTTTTTTTGCTAGTTATTAATCGTTAGCTTGTTTTTTTATGGTTATTAATTGTTTTTTTTTAGCATTAATTGTCAATTTTTTTATTAATAATTGCTTATTATTTTGCTTGTTTTTTGTGAATTTTAATTTAATTGTTACATATGTTTCATAGTGTAGTATCATTTGTGTAATAAAAATTCATAGTGCAATAACAATTGTGATCGATGACGTGCCCAAAATATTGTGTCGCGTGCCATACAGGGCACGCGTGCCATTGGTTCGCCATCCCTGCTCTAGATCCACTACACACTTCTCTTTTTTGTCCCTTAGAATAGAAGTTCGGGTTCAAAAACACTGACATAATCTAGGCTATCTATT